AGGGGTGGAAGCAGCTGTTTGCTCCGGCCGAGTCTCGGGGGAGAAGCGCCGGCTGGCCCGTCCCTGGGTGCGGGTTGCGTCGGTGCTCATCTATACCGGAAGGAAGCAGATGCTAGTCACGGTCTAACCGTAAATTTCCTTGGAAGGCCTCTTGGTTTATTCCAAGCTGTAGCAAATAGTGTGGGTAAGTAGGAGGTCTGGGCTAAAATACGTGCACTGGCCTGGAGACAAAATGATAATTACAGGTAAGGCTGCAGCAAGTCAGCAAGCAATATTGCTAACCCAAGGTGTGCAGAAAGGAGGAGTCAAACTCAGATGGCCATTAACAGGCTTTCAAATAAAAGTTCATGTTTAAAATTGAGATTTTTGTTGTCTTCTGTTTTGATTTTCTACAGTTTGTGCTTTTTAGATACAACATGGCCATGCTACTATTTTTACTGCAGCAGAAGTTTTGATGTAGCCCTGTTATTTCCTGGGATGCTTGCAGGGACTAAGTACTGCGTCAAAAGACTTGATAAAAACAGGTGTTATGCTGTGATGTAGTGGCAAGCCTAGGACATCCTGGCGGTGTGCTTCCCAGCAGAAGCCTTTCTGTGACCTGCTTTTTGTGTTCGTTGCAGAATGTCCCTGTTGGTTGTGGGTCCCAGAAGCTGACCTGCCTCTTTCATTCCCTCTTGCATAATGAAGATCTTTGTGAACATTCTTTAACACTGAAAAGAAAAATAGAAACGTTTTTCCTCTGAACAAAAGTCTTGCGAATGAACTGAATGTATGGTCTCTCTGGCAAGTTCTCTAAGAATATGTACGCTTTCTGAATCCTTCAGCTTTCACTCAAGAAGTGATTTTTTTCATCTCTCAGGACTGCCTGATAGGTGTGTTTGAAACACTGTACATTTTCATGTATAAACCACCCCAAATTTAAAAGGTACGTAACTACAGTACCTAAAGTAATTTACAACCGATGTGGTACCAGATTTGCTGTTGCTTCATAACATGCTGTTCATCTCTCACAAACTTTAAATGCTTCCAGGTTATGCTTCTAAACAGCAGGAACAACAGAGAAGGCATGAGGGCATAAAAAATCAGTTTTGTTTCTAGTCTCTCTGTAATGAAATTTATAATTTCCTGTGTTGCATTCCCATCTTTTTGTCTCCTGATGACTCTCTTTCTTGTAGCCTTAGTGTGACTGATCCAGAAGTTTGCTGTAAGTAGTTGACAGGGTGCATGCTGCCATTGAGGAGGCTTGTAGCTCTATGTAAGGAAATCACAGATCTTATCTCTTACATATAAGGATGCACCCACATTTTTGACACATCTACAAGGTATTGAGCAGTCCCCACCAGAGGCTGACATTCTACTAAGCAAGACTAAAAGTTAAGGGTACCTTTATGTTTCTACATTTTCAATGTTCTCCAAAGATACAAGAATCTGTATCTGTTCTGGAAATCATTGATCTGTCTTGTTTAACTCC